TCTTTTGGTTCTTTGTTATGTTTTTAGTTTAATTAGTTTGTAATCTCCTCGTTCTATATTCTCCTTTTTTTAATATTTGCATTATTTTCTATGTAAAAACTATGGCATATTTTTATTCTTAATAGTCCTCATTTACATGTTTGCCACGAACTTCGATCTTTGCACAATCTAACATCTTCTTAACTTCTTAGCTTACCTCGCTAAGTTTCATCACGACTTCTTGCATCGGCGTTATCAATAGCTTGCATTGGTGAGCTCTATCATGGCCTCCTTTCACTATTCCATTGGATTTCCTTAGAGCTCCGTTGCAACTTCTTGCACCAGCGCCATCGATGCCTCGCCCTAGCTAGCTTCATCGTAACTTTATTTTCCCTACATTATTATTATTGATGTCTTGCCCTAATGAGCTCCATCTCAATCAGAGAGTTCCGTCTAATAATGGAACTTTTATTTGGTTCGGTGAACGTACGCTCCTCTACGTTCGGCCACCAATCTTTTAGCGCCACGTAGCACGAAAAAAAGTTGCCGACCCGACCCGCTGTTTTTTGGGTTCTAGCGCGTGCGTTTTTTTTAATTCCTTGACGAGCCGAACAACATTCCATCACCTTTTGGATATATTTTAAATATCTAGCAAATACCGAGTTGTACCTAGTTTTTTCTAGCAATACCGAGTAAATACCTAGCAATACCGAGCAAATCTCTAGTAATACCGAGCAAATCCTGAGCAAATACTGAGTTGTACAGAGTTGTACCGAGTTCTTTCTAGCAATACCGAGCAAATACCTAGCAATACCGAGCAAATCCTTAGCAATACCGAGCAAATCCTTAGCAAATTCTGAGTTGTACCGAGTTGTACCGAGTTTTTTCTAGCAATACCGAGCAAATACCTAGCAATACCGAGCAAATCCGGAGCAAATACCGAGTTGTACCGAGTTGTAGAAAAACTCGGTACAACTATGTATTTGTATAGTTTTGGTGTTCACAGAGCGGTATTTCTCATTTTTGCAAAGCAATACCGAGCAAATACCGAGCAATACCGAGAAAATCGCAAACATAGCATTCCCGGGTTCCGCTCCGGGTCAAGTCGTCGGGCCGCGCGGTAAAGAGTAAAAGCACGTGGCGATATGTTATTGGCGGCCGAACGTACCTCTACGTCAGGTCAGAGAACGTAATAATTGTTCCTAATAATGTACGACAAAAACAACATGATTACAAGAATGGGACCGACGTCCCAGAGAGAGAGAATCTAAATGGCATTTGGGGTTAAGTGTATTTTTATTAATATTTAAAGTTTTAAATAATATGTGAATAAATAATAAAATTTATGTGTTGAATATATAAATTAGAAAAAAAAAATTGAAAATGTTATGTACATGTAAATCCAAACAGTTAATGGATCCGGATATCCAAAAGAAACCATATTGTACCCGAAAAGAGTTCTTATCCGAGTCCGGGCTGCCACTCGTCCCAAACCGTTCGAAAGAATCCGTGGGCCGTCTTCCTCCAAGTTTTTTTCTACTTCAGATTATAAATCCTGTCACGGGAAGAACCAGAAGAAAAAAGAAAGAGAGAGAGATTCAGAGATTCAGAGCAGAAGAAACAAAGATTAAGAATCATCTTCTCCGTCCATCAATCCGTTCACACATGTTGCAGCTCTTCTTCGCCGTCGCCTTCTCGGCAGCGCCGCTCACTCTCTATGTGCCGCCGGTGAGAAGCCTCAACCTTTTCATCGAAACTATGGAGAACTTCGCCAGAGAAAGCTCCGGATACACCAACCGAGCCCTTCCTCGCCTGCACCTTGCCTTTCGGCGGATCCTCTCTGCTCTCCTCCGGGCCCTAAGGTAGAGAATCCGTGGATGAATCTTTCTTGTATAGAAATAGCGTTTCTGAGAGTTTCAAAGTTGGGCTGTATACGACGGCTTTCTTTTTCTCCTTCTACTTTATTTCTGCGGAATAATGAGGATCTGGTGTTTCTGGTTTAAGGAATCGTTGATTCAGGAGTTTTTGATGTGGCTTTTGATTGTTTTGTGGTTAGATTTTGGAAGGGTTTTAGGTTTGTTGGTGATTTTTTAGGTTTAGGGTATGGATTAGGGAGTCCTCTTTTTGCTCCTATCGATCTCCTTCTCTGCTGCAGCAAGATCTGTGGAATTTGATGGAGTTCGGGCGATGGGAGAATGAATTGGGGAAATTAAATTGCAGATCGATATGTTCTGATTTGATTAGATCTTACGCAGAAGAAACTGTTGATCATTATTGAGCCAATTTTGGCTTTGTTTGGGCAGCTTAGGGTCTGATTAAGGAGAAATTATTTTGTGCTAGGCCGGATGCAGGTGGCCGGATAAAGATATTGTCCGGAGACCAATCAAAATGCATCATATCAGTGATATTGAGCCGTGGTACCGAGCGAAGGGGTGACATAACGTATTCTGATTGGTCTCTGGACAATATTCTACATCTGCACAAAATAATTGATCATGATTAAGACAGTTTTTGCTTTACATAATCTTATGTGGCTATTATTTTTTTACTATTTTTTTTAAAGTGTACTTTTAATGTTCACAGATACAAAACCGAATCGTTCTTCTCGTCCGGTGTCCGCACAAAATAATCTCTCCTCATCTTGATATCTTAGTTGAGAGTTTTGATTATCAACTAAAACATCTCAGATACAAATTTTGTGTATGTGATGTGTATGAATTTGTCTTAATTAATCTAAATGTCTAAAAAAACAATTTTTATTATAAATTTCAAAAAATTTACTTTCTCCAAATATTTTTACAATCAGATTTACAAAAATTTATAATTGTCTTGAAATAAATCCTAAGGATATGTGTTACAAAGGTTTTGATAAAAATATTGCGAGAGAAGTGGTTTTCTTAAAACTTTCTTAAAATGTAGTTTTTTAGCATATTTTTTTAAATAAATGAAAGAATAATAACCTAATAAAAATTATGGTTGATATTTAAAAATTAAAATAATAATAAAGTTGTTATAAATAAAATCTAAAGATGCAATTCATTTTGATTTATTGGTTATGAATTTTGACTATCAATCAAGATATTTTAAATTCAAAGTTTATGTATATGATGTTTATAAATTTGTTTTTAATTGGCTTAAAAGTCTTTAAAAATAGATTTTTTTTTCTATTTTTTAAGTAGACATGGTAGATACTAAATATTAATTGGATACAAAAATGGAATCAGGATGATCTGATATTAATTGGATTAAAATTAGTTTACAAATTATTAGATTTATTTTAAAAGTAATACAATTTATTTTTATATAAAATTAACTTTAAAATAAATTTAATATTTTTTAAATCAATCATGATGTAAAATTATATTAGGATATTAATTGAGTCCGAGAGTGGTGGAATTAAGGAGAAATTAGGTTTCCTCTTATCCTTTTCTAAATTTAAAAAATATATATGAATGCCTCTCTCTCTCTCTCTCTCTATCACTCTCTATCTCTCTTTATCACTCAAATTTTAATCCTTTATTATAATAATATTTATGTTATTTATGTAGAAACTCACAAAGAAAATGATTTTACAGCCTCACCCAATATAAATAATTATAATAAGATATGTCATATTCTATATAAATGATGTTCATACCCATAATTGAAGAAATTATTGATATAATATAAGAAACATTAACTATATAGAATAAATTTGATGAGAGCTCGGAGGCCGGCCTTAAATTTGGAACAATTATTA